GTTTTGACTTCGTGTGGACGTTTCGTGTTCGTTTTGACTTCGTGTGGACGCGGGCCTAAAGCATGAATACTGCATGTGTTGTTCAGAGTAGCTCTGTTCTCAGGGCCGTTCCACACCATTCAAATACTTCCTTTACCCCCTTTAGCCTCACTTCGCAGAAAAAAAAAAATATTCTGCACATTTGTATTATTTCACCATCATGGAGGTCATGTATTCGGTAGATTTGCAGAGTAGATTTCCAATATATTCAGCAATATGCAAGTATGCCCAAGTTTCGTTTGGACCCATCTGACCAGAGGATAGTCCTCCATATGTTTGCCCTGTTAATCTTTTTGGCTTGAAGCTATCGTTGAAATGTACCTCCTATCACTTTCTTTCAACAATGACTTTCATCCTGCCATTTTTCCATGAAGTCCAGATTTTAACATTAGTATATTTGTCAGCATATTTCCCCCCTCTGAACCTGTGGAGGTCCCCTCGGATCTTCCTGAGTTACAATCAGACTCTTGACCTCTTCCTTCTCCTCGTCTGATAAGTGGGACAGTCTTTCATACTGCAGTTGTGCCATACTCTAAATGTTTATTGGCTGAATTTAAGAGTGTCTTATTACATGCTGAAGCTTGGAATATCATTTCATAATCTACCCCTTTAAAATCCACCACATCTTTATTTTATTTATCTGGAGCAGTCAATGGTCTTCATATTGCTGTTTATTTATAAGTGTTTTTCTAATAAACAACTGTATTCATTCTAAGATTAAACTACATTCTTTTTTTTCTTTTTTTTAAACATAACACTATTGATTTAGCTTAGTGGTAATAAAGTAAAGGACACTGGTTCTAAATACCCTTCACACTCTTGGTTTTTATCCATTATTTCTGCTTCACAATTATGCAAAACAAAATAGTGGTTGTAAAATTATCAGATACAGAAACCTAACATGAAGTCTTAACTTTTTGTTCGTTTTACCATTGTGTTTTTAACATCTAACGCTTGTTTACTTCTAGGTTGTTGGAGAACTTTGGTCAGTGACGTTACAGCCTACAGTAAAATGTCCTATTTTTTATGGAAGTTCCAAGTCTACGGTGTGAAAGACAACCAGTATAAAAGATTAACTAAACTTTAAATCAACGGTCAAGATGGCTATTCTTATTTAAAGGATCTGAACTTTAAACAGGTTATGCAACAGAGTGTGTGATTAATCCAGCTGATGAGCTATGGGTGGGAAAGGGGGCGTGACTATCAGGAGTCAGCTATCTATGGAAAGTAGGCCACTGAGAGGTGTGCGTGGGTCACACACATCATATCTGCTTTCAAATGTAGCCATGTGTAGACATACTACACAGTGACCTTTAGATGAAAGGGAACAAAGCAAAGGCTGCTGGATTTTTACTCTTAAAAAGAAAGGAGTGGATCTTGATCTATTGGTCATTTAAATGAGCCATTTATCTAAATGCACTTCCTGAATTTGAATGCTCACAGTTAGCTGACCGGAGAAACACAAAGAGAAGTGGGAAATAACTGAAGTTTCACATGACCCATTGTTTAAAAATATTCAAATCTTTACTTCCCCAAAAAATAGTTAAAATTTTCTTGTTCCTTCTGACTTTGATGGAAATAGATTTCATTATTTCGTCAGTAGTTTTTCAGATGTCATTTTAAATTGTGATTCCCGTTTAAACACGTTTAACCTTTTTTAAACCCTTTATTATATATGTAAGTTTCAAAGTTTTCAGCTTGACAATTTTAGACTTAGATTTAGACAACTTTTATTGTCATTTCACGAAATTTCATTTTGTACAGCTTTCAGACAGTGGATGAGCAGCAGCTTAGCTGTTGTATATAAAGCCATTTTTTTTTTAAGTACAAAAATTGTGATTTGTAAATAATTCTAATGGTGTTTTCACATTTGATTAGAAAACATCAAACTTGTTTGCTGTTTTAATGTCAGGGTTGCTGGATGTTGTTGTGGACCCAAATGTAGAGTAGATGAGGTATTTTTTGCCGTTTTAATGCTGAAGTAAACATAAATCCAGAAATAACTAGCTGGGAATTTAGAAACCAAAAATCAGGGACGCTCAGGAGAAACATACAAGAAGAAATGAAGCAATGAAGATGATCCAGCAATGAGGAACTGCACAGGAGGTGTATAACAGATTCCCACTCTTCAGAATCTGTTAGTTCAGTCTCTGACGTTCTAATCATTAGGCAAAACTAGGCAGTGGTCTATGGC